ACTGATTAACTCGACCCAAAACGCTCTAAAAGAGGGGTTTCATGGTAGATACTTACCATGCGAAAGGACATCTAAAGTTGTTAAAATGCATTAAAAAAAAGCTTTTGCTCGAAGTCGCGTCAAGAATGCTCGTTATCCGTCAACCCCATAAAGCCCTAGAGCACTACAACCCGTTGACTCAGCGTTGACTGAGCGTTGACCCGGCGTTGACTTGAGCTCGACTAGGAACCTGAAAAGGCGGTACGCTAACCCTAGCTTCCAAAGCGGGACACGGGAAATGATACGACGCGAAATGGCACTAGCTACTCGTTATGAAGCTACCGTGATTTTCTAGAATCCCACTAGCTCGCCATTCGATAAATCGCGCGGATACCGTGGAGCGAATGGGGAACCCAAGAGACTTTCAGAAACCCTAATGCTCTAGCTTATCGTCCTAAAGCGCGTTTACCGTTGTGCCACGTTGGCGAACGATAATGCTCCCTGCCTTGGCCGGCTGATCGCCGTACACCTTGACGCCTAGCCGCTTAGCCTTGGAGTCGCGGCCGTTCTTCGTGCTACCGGATCCCTTCTTGTGCGCAGCCTCGATGGTCAGCGGCGCGCTGCGGGTGGTGGGAGCGAACGAAACCCTAGCGGAGGCGGCGGGGAGAGCCGCGCCAGAGAGAGCGGCGGAGCTGCTCAGAGAGGAAATGCTGAGCTTCTGGAACATGGACGAAACAGCCGCCATGGCTACGCGCTGCGTGCTGTGTGTGAAGGAAGCGAAAAACACGCGGAAATGAGAATGAATGAGGTGTGGGGGAGAAGGGGGATCGGGTGAGGAAGAATGGGAAGGGGGAAGGAGGCACGCGCGGGAGGGCACGGGGGCTGGAGTAGCAGCAGATAGGCAAGGCACAGAGGGGGAGAAGAGGGGGGCAGAGGTGATGAGAGGTACGGTTGAACGGGATGAAGGGTTCAAGAAGTGGGTTCATGGGGTAACATTTATCGCGAAAAGGGTCCTTGAGATTGGCAGGGTGAACAGATTTCTGCGAAAGTGTTATGATCAGACGAACTCCTCTCTTGAATTCGCAACATGGCTAGATTTTGGTAAAGCTTTGCCACGTCACGAGGAGGCTGAGGGTGTAACACAGAATCGATAACTGACGTGGCGGTTCTGCGTGTGCACACGAATGCGACGGCCAGTTTTCATGGTTTTGCAGTGAGGAAATGGTAACATATCACACACTGGTTTTCGTTTCGTTTAATATACAGGCACAAGCTTTCGCAAACTGCAGACTGTTTCTTCGCCAAGACCGGAACTGGTACCCTCCATTCTCAAGCTCCCGTTTCTCCTGCCAAGCTTCCAGCGTTTCCTTCGTGCGCTAACTACGCTGCAGCATATTCCCTAATTTGATCTGTGATCGCTGGTCAAACTCGATCGCGCGATCTCCAGTGTTGAGCAAAAGCAGGAAACCAAGAGTCAGTGGCTTTCCGTTTTGACACAGACTCCGTTCTTTTGAGTTTCCAACGCAATATATGAGTAGAGACTTACCAAGTGTCACTGGCTCCTGATCGTTTGTACAGACCTCCTTGGAAACGCGTCGAAAAGGTAGATAGTCGGGAGTTTTGTTTACTCGTCTGACACTGCTGCGTTCTTTTCAGAAAGATCCGGGAATAATGCCAGCAGTTACCACATCGTTCGCGAGATCACTCGCACCGTCTCGCCTTTCGTCATTCAGCTCCGCTGAGCTACAAGGCTCCAGCCATGGCAAAATGGAGCTCCCAAGCCTGTGCGATAGGCTCGGCCCGAGCCTGAAACTCAGCTGGAACAATCAAACCGCCAGCAGTAGGGCTGTCAACGAGTCGCGCGTCGTCGAGACCTCGAGACTCGCGGTCCGATGCATGGCGCAGCCGCGGCGCGTGCAGATGGTGGCGCAGCAGATCCACCGCGAAGTTGCGTCGATGCTTCTCAACGACACCACGCTGCGCGCCGCCGTCCAACCCGAGCACGCGCTGGGCGCCGACAAGGTCATGTCAGCCATCGCCACGATCAGCGACGTGGAGCTATCATCGGACCTGCAGGTGAGTTTGGGGTATCTGTCTGTATGAAGACTGTAGCACCGCAGCACGCGCTGGGTGCCGCCGGCAAAGGTCATGTCGGCCATAGCTACGATCAGCGACGTGGAATTATCGGCGGACTTACAGGTGGGTTTGGGGAATCATTGTGCGGTACCATGCAATCAAACCCCAGTTGCACGGTGCAACTTGCACCCGAGCAAGCGCTGGGCGCCGACAAGGTCATGTCGGCCATCGCCACGATCAGGGACGTGGAGCTTTCGGCGGACCTGCAGGTGAGACTGGGGTATGATATTCTGCATGCGCGTTCGAGTGTCCGATTCAAGGCTGCTGCACCTCCGCAGCGGATCACGCGCTGGGCGCCGACGAAGTCATGTCGGCCATAGCCACGATCAGCGACGTCGAGCTATCGGCGGACTTGCAGGTGGGTTTGGGGTTGTGCTTTACGCTTGGCTTTTCAAGGCGCCAAACGTGCGGTCAGGGCTGGGGATGAGGACGTGACAAAAGCGTACCTTTGAATCACCCTTTGAATCACCCACCATTCCTCTACCCTGCCCCTCTCACTCCTTTACCTTTCCCTCACCACTCTCACACCCGCAGGTGGCGAAAACGTACGTGTCAGTGTATGGGGACGGGAGGGGGCAGGCGATAGCGATGGAGGGGGTTGAGGGCACACCCGTGAATGCACACCCCCGAATCCCCCACCTATCCCCTACCCTGCCCTTATCACGGCCTCTCCCCTTCCCCATTCTCAGGTGGCGAAGGTGAACGTGTCAGTGTATGGGGACGAGCGGGGGCAGGCAATAGCGATGGAGGGGCTGAGAGCCGTCAGGGCTGACATAAGCACCTCGTGCCGTCATAAGCACCCCTTTACACCCCCACCACTCCACACCCTCAGGTGGCGAAGGTGTACGTGTCAGTGTATGGGGACGAGCGGGGGCAGGCGGTAGCGATGGAGGGGCTGAGAGCCAAGGCGCCATACGTGCGGTCAGGTCTGGGCAAGAAGATGCGGCTGCGGTTCGCTCCTGAAGTGCGATTCATTCAAGACGACTCTATGGAGCGGGGAAGCAGGGTGAGTTGCGGACTACCCTCTTTAATGGGGGTAATTAGTCAATAATAGGTGTGTATGTGGGGTCAGGTCTGGGCAAGAAGATGCGACTACGGTTCGCCCCTGAAGTGCGGTTCATTCAACACGACTCTATGGAGAGGGGCAGCAGGGTGAGTTGCTGCAATACCCCCTTTAAGCAGGGCAATCAGTTGATTATAGGTGTTTGTGCTTGAGTTGTGGCTGGGCAAGAAGACGCGGCTGCGGTTCGCCCCTGAAGTGAGGTTCGTTCAAGATGACAGCAGGGTGAGTTCACGCACTACCCTGTTTAATCAGGGTGACTAGTCAATTATGGTTGTTTGCCCGAGGTTGGGGCTGGGCAGGAGGACAGTGAATCTGCTGTGCTTTCGCCACCCATCATGTCATGCTGACATTACCCCCCAAACCCCAAACCCCTGAACCCTTCAAATTCTGTTAACCCCCCAACCCCGAACCCCTGACCCCCCTAAACTCTGGTAACTTCCGAACCCCAGACCCCCCCAATCCCCTGAATGCCTAAACCCCCGAATCTCGCAACCCTCAAAATCGTCACCCCCCCGGCCGGACTGCCATCACCTCCCCTCACCTCCTCTAAACCCCTTTCTTTCCTCCGCTTCAGCCCCACCTCCCTACCCACCTGCAGGTCCTCTCCATCCTCTTGCGTCTTAAAGCTGAGCAGCAGGTATAACGATGCTATGAGTCGATTCGAAACAGACCTGGGTATACTGACACGCCCTTTTTTTCCTTCCCCCCCGCCCCTTCCCTTTTTCTCCCTCTTCCTGCCCCACCTCCCTTTTTAGTCCCTTGCAGGTTCTCCCCATCCTCTCGCACCCAAAGCGCTCACTTGTCGGACTACCATCACCGCATCAAATCCCTCCCCACCCCTTTGCCTTCCTTCCTCCCCACCCCCCCACCACCTCTCTATCCCCCTGCAGGTCCTCTCCATCCTCTCACGTCTCAAAGCAGAGCAGCAGGCTCGGGAACGCGGCGAGCCTCTTCCGCCGAACCTGTCCCCCATAGCTTCGGGAGGGTATGATGACGAGGATGAGGAGGAAGAGGAATTGGCACGGGGTGTGAGAGCACAGAGAAAGCCAAAGAAGGGGCAGGTGGAGGGGGGGTTGGGGGGGAGGGGAGGAGGGCAGGGGAAGGGGCAGGGGAAAGGGGGGAAGAAGGGTGCGGGGAAGAGGTGGGAGGGAGACGATGGGGTGAGGCTTGAAGATTTTGGGGAGGATGAGAAGGTGTTTCTGGTTGAGGGAGTGTGATGGCTTGTGTTTGTGCTGTGGGGTGTGAATGTTAAGGAAGACATAGGGAATCCATAGATGTTCTGTTGAAATGCCAGAGTGGCCTGGTGTATGGCATTGCAAATGCAGAAATATGCCTATTAATATATGTAAAGATAATACTGCAATATGCACGGGAAAATAAATGTCTTGAACTCGAGGCTGTTGAAGCCCTTCTAATTGGGTCCAACTCAAAGACAGGCCAACATCAATTAGATTTCAATAGTCATCAATCTTGCCAACCGTACACAGCATTATTGATACTTCCTTTCACTGTAGTTGAACCTCCTGTTTCAGCCACCCCTGCTCTGATCCAACCTTCCACCTACCCAGAGCCACCTAATGAACAGCCTCAGCTGTTGCAAGCCGCTTCCAATGCAGCAAGAGAAGTGGCTTCATGCTGCGCCTCTATCTCAACTCAAGCACATGCACTCCACACCCCCCCCCCCCCCCCACCCTGTTTCAATTGCTTCAGGCCCCCTCCTCATCACTGCCAAAATGCTCTTATGACTCAAGCCGCTACGATTCTTCTGCCCCCAACATATCCTCTCCACCTGTCCTTACCCCTCACCACCTCTCCTCACCCCTCACCACCTGTCTTTGATCAACCCCTGCCTGTGTATGCCCTTGCTCCTCCACGCCTCCTTTCCTCTCCCCTTCTCCTTGTCCCCTGCCACCTTCACTCTTTCCCTCTCTCTCAACTCATCACCCCTTCCCCTCACTCCCGCTGCATGCCCTTTCCCCCCTTCCTTTTCCTCCTCTCCCTCCTCCCCCTCCCCTCCCTCCGTACCCACCTCTTCCTTCTCTTCCCTTCTCTCCTTCTCTCGCCCCCTTCTCTTATCACCCTCGCTCGCTTCCCCAACTGCACTCCTCACAGGTACCCACCCAGCCCCATCCACACTCCCACTCTCCCTCCCCCACCTGTCCACCCCCACCACCTTCCTCTCTCCCTCATTTCCCCCCTTCTGCACTCCTCCACCCTCTCTTCTCCCTACGCCACTTCTCACACCCCTCTCCTTTCCTCTCTCCTCTCCCTTTCTCCCCGCTTCCACAGCCATTTTGTTGAAGTTGCCTCTACCACCACTCCCCACCGCTTGCCCATTCGCTCGCTTCCAAACACTTGGCATTGCCCTCTTCTCCTGACCGTCCTCCCTTTCCCACTCCTCTTCCTCTTCCTCATCTTCCTCTTCCTCCTCGTCCTCCTCATCCCAATCCTCCTCATCCCCACTCTCCCACTCACTCTCCTCCTCACTCCCTCCCCTCCCATACCCCTCCCTCTCCCCACTCACCACCTCCCCCCTCCTCATCCTCCTCCGCCCATCCTCCATAAGAACTCTCATCTCCTCTATAGCATCCGCCAGCTCATCACTCATTATAAGCACCTCCCCTTCATAAGCCTCCCGCAGAAACACCGAATCCCGCACCCCTTTCACCGACACATAAAAAACCTCCGGGTGCCGCAACAGCAGCGCATAAATCCTCGCGGGCAGCAGAAAATCTTTCCGAAAGTGCGTCAGCTGGTCAATCAGGCACCGCTTCTCAACGGTCAGCGAAAGAAATTCCCGAATCACAGCAACTGCCCGCCTCTCCGCCTCCATTGATTCGGGCGATATCCCTAGCTCGAGCGGGTTTGCATAGGGGGAGATGGGAGGGGAGGCATGGAACCTCTGCAGCCTGAGCAGATCAGATTGCTTTAGCTTCAGACCCGGGGGTAGATTGAGCTTTAAGCTCAGCCGAACGGCTTTCTTGTACCGCTCCTCCCGACCGCTATTGCTGCTGCTGCTGCCAGCATTACTGGCACCACTGGCAACACCACTGCTACTCCCGTCCTGGTCCGCACTGGTTTTCCCGGTGATGTAAGCCATGCGGCTGGTCTCTGCCTTGTGCCGCCCCAACCCGATCGCTGCCTCTGCTAGTTGCTCAGGCGTCAGAGAGGGCTTGGGGGGAGTAAGCTGCGTGCCCGGGGTTTCTGAAGTAAATTGAGTGACTGGAGAGACTGGGGTACCTGGGGTAAGTGGAGCGATGTGAGTGGGTTGGGACACCTGGGTTTGAGAGGTGGAATCTGGTGATGCAGTGTCGCACGGGAGAACAGGACCAAGGTGAGGCTTTCTGAATGCCGTTGCCTCTGTCCCTTCTTCCTCTTGCTCCTCCTCTTCCCATTGCTCCTTGTCCCATTTGTCTCCTCCTCCCTGGATCTCCGTCTCTGGTTCCTTCTCACTCCTCTGTGACCTGCCTCTGCTACCCTTGCGTTCACTCTGCCCTTGTTGCCCCTCTCCCCCTTCCCCCACTCCTCCTCCCTCTCCTTCTCCCCCTCCTTCTCCCCATCCCTCTTCCCATCCCTCGTCCCACCCCTCCCCCCATCCCGCCCCTTGCCCCTCATGACCACTCCCCTCGCCTTTACTGTTTCCCACATCAAACACATCAGTACTCTCCCTACCCTCCTTCCCCTCTCCCTCCTCCTCCTCCTTCTCCTCCTCCTTCTCCTCTTTCCCTTTCTTGGCCCCTCCCTCCTCTTCCTCGCCCATCTCCTCTTTCTCCTTCTCTTTCTCTTCTTCCTTCTCATCCTCCCACTCCTCCTCTTCCTCCTCATCCTCCTCCTTCTCCTCCTCCTTCCTCCTCTCCTCCCCACTCTCCCCCTCCCCCTCGTTATCCCCATCCCCCAACACCCCTCCCACCCCTTCTCGCCTCACCATCCCTCCCTGTGCCCTCCCTCCCGCTGCTGCTGCAGCACCACCAGCACCACCACCCTCCCAACCACCAGCAGAAGATTCACCACCCCCCCCACTCCCCCCACCAAAACCACTATCAGCAGCGGAACCACCACTAGCGCCAGCACCATCAACGAAGGTACCACCACCACCAGCACTAGCAGCAGCAGCAGAAGCAGACGCATAGGGAGTGCTATTGATGCTAGCAGCACGGGAGGCAGCACCAGCACCAGCACCAGCACCAGCACCAGCACCAGCAGCAATGCCACCCCGGATACCATTCCCTCCCCCCTCACCCGCCACAGCCTCACTACCCTCTCCCCGAGGCTCTTTCCGAGCCTCTTTTCGAGCCTCTTCCCAAGCCTCTTCCCGAGCCTCTTCCCGAGCCTCCACTGCTGCTTCGTTCGCCTCTTCTACAGACATTGCCAAGCGATCGTCCCACTGCTGCAGCACCAGCACCGGCCCCCCAGCAGCAGCAGGGGTGCCCGGAGGGGCTGCTGGCGGGGTAGCTACTCTGAAGCGATCGGAGAAGCGCGGGAGGAAGGACTGGCAGTGGACAGAAGGGTAAGGAGCAAAGAGGGGGGTGAGAAGGGAGGGAGGCGAGGGGATGTCAGTTGGGAAGGAAAAGCCTCGGCCACAGACAGCGCCTCGAGCTCGACCCACTGCTGCAGCACCAACCCACAATAGCAGCACTACCAGCTACGTTGGAATGTTTTTGTAGAATTCTCAAAAACAGCACCAGCAGCACCGGACCCACAATAGCAGCACTACCAGCCCTACGAGCAGCAGAAAGCCCCTGCTGCCACTGACAAAGCCGGCAGGGCTAGGCAGAGATAGAGGTGACTTTTGAGTCGACACAATAGCAGCACTACCACCCCTACGAGCAGCAGAAAGCCCCTGCTGCCACTGACAAAGTCGGCAGGGCTAGGCGGAGATAGAGGTGACTTTTGAGTCGACACAATAGCAGCACTACCAGCCCTACGAGCAGCAGAAAGCCCCTGCTGCCACTGACAAAGCCGGCAGGGCTAGGCAGAGATAGAGGTGACTTTTGAGTCGACACAATAGCAGCACTACCAGCCCTACGAGCAGCAGAAAGCCCCTGCTGCCACTGACAAAGGTTGATTTTGAGAATTCTCAAAATCAACCTGCCACTGACAAAGCCGGCAGGGCAAGGCAGAGATAGCGCACCGTTTTGAAGTCCTCTGGAAGCCCCACCTCCCTCCTCACATGCCCTACGCTCTCCACACTCAGGGAGTGCGTTGCTGACATCATTAGCAGCTTGCAGAGCTGCAGTAGTAATGTGGGGAGAGGGAGGAGGGGCAGCAGTGGTTGGGGTTAGGGGGAAGGGACAGTACGCATGCAGGGATGCACAAAATTACACAAGGTTGGCGTTCCAAGGCACAGCAGTGCTCCCCTTGACACTCAGGGACTGCGTTGCTGACATCATGAGCAGCTTGCATACCTGCGGTAGTAGGTGGGTGGAAGACGAGGCGAAGTTGGGGAGGGGAAGACGAAAAGGGGGTTGGTTGTGGGGGGGAAGGGGGTGCAAGGACTGCAGGAGAGCACAGAAGGTTGGTGTTCCAAAGGAAAGCCCGGCTCTCCACAGTCAGAGACATTATTAAGAGCTTGATTGAGCTGCAGCATATGGGAAACAATGTTGCCCGCACCCCTGTCATGCAATGCACCCACCCCACTGCACCGCATCACACACCACCTCATCTCACCGCACTGCACCGCACCTTATCCACGAGAACGGGTTCCATCATGGCTCGCAGATCCCTCTCCCTCGCGTCCCGCCGTGTCGCCGCTGGTGTCAACTCAAACCAGATGTTGCCCGCACCCCCGCTGTGCCATGCACACAGCCCACTGCACCGCACCGCACACCACCCCATCTCACCGCATCTCACCGCATCTCATCGCATCCCACCGCACTGCACCTCACCTTATCCACTAAGATGGGTTCCATGACGGCTCGCAGCTCCCTCTCCCTCGCATCCCTCTGTGCCGCCTCTGCAGTCAGCTCGAACCAGATGTTTCCCGCTCCCTTATCGTACACTCGGAATATGGAGGGGAATCTGATGGGGGAAGCAGGGGAGGTGGAGGGGGGAGTGGGGGAGAGGGGCCCAGGCATTCACTTCTTTGGGTCAAATCAAACCAGATGTTGCCCGCACCCTTGTTGTACACTCGGAATATGGAGGGGAATCTGATGGGGCGGGGGACGGGGCATGGGGGGTTGGAAAGAAGGGCAGGGATTTCACTCCAGCTCGAACCAGATGTTGCCCGCACCCTTATCGTACACTCGGAATATGGAGGGGAATCTGATGGGGTGGGCGGGAGGGGGCGAAATCAGGGGAGGGGAAAAGGGGGAGGACGAAAGGACCAAACATTCAGTCCCTTTAGCTCGAACCAGATGTTGCCCGCACCCTTATCGAGGGGAATTTGATGGGGTGGGGGCCATGGGGGGTCAAAATGAGGGGAGGGGAAAAGGGGGAGGACGAAAGGACCAAACAATAAGTCCCTCCAGCCCAAACCAAATGTTGCCCGCACCCCTGTCGTACACTCGGAATATTGAAGGGAATTTGTTGCAGTACTGGTGGTGGTGCTGTACTCACTCACTCACTCACTCACTCACTCACTCTCTCACTCACTCACTCACTCACTCACTCACAATCACTCACTCACACACACACACACACACACACACACACACACACTCACCTGCGAATGAGAGCCACGCATCGTCTCCCACCAGACAGCCCAATCTTGCTCCGATGTTTCCCCAGCTCCTTGAGACTCATAATCACGCACACACACAGAACCACTCTCTCTCTCTCTCACGTGCACACCCTCACTCACACTCACCTGCGAATGAGAGCCACACATCTTCGCCCTCCAGACAGCCCAATCTTGCTCCGATGCTTCCCCAGCTCCTTGAGACTCATGCGCCCGCCCTCCTGCAAGATAAAAAAGGAAACCAGCGAGATTCCAGGCTCATTAGCGAGTCAGCTACAAGGGGAGCCTAACGTGCATTCTCTCTGCCAGTTTCTATACTCATTACTCTCAAGTAGTTAGCTTGGAGTAGTGACCACCCAGCTCCTTCAGACTCCCGCACAAGCCCTCCTGCCGATCTCCCCACATGGTTACGGCCACGAGGTGAGCCATGCCTCAATTAACCCAGTGCATGCCAGCTCCTTATTTAAAGCGAGGGTCTACAGTCATTGACTGGCGTTCAATGGCGTTGACCACCGTTGACTGGCGTTGACTCACCTGCTTCCCCAGCAGCTCCTGTATGCGCTGCACGATGCGGAACTTCTTGTTCCTCTCAATCACCGCATCCAACCTTGGCTCTTTGCGTCGCTTCACCTTGCACTCCACCACACGCCGCTGCCGGGGCTGATGGATTGAAAGGCGGGCCGGGGAGGGCCGGGGGACGGGGAACAGGGGACGGGGAAGGGGAGGGTGTTTCAATCACTGCATCCAGCCTTGGCTCCCGCGGCCGCTTCACCTTGCACTCCACCACTCGCTGCTGCCGGGGCTGGTGGGTTGGAAGGGGGGCCGGGGAGGGGGGATGGGGGAAAACGGAGGTAGGAGAGGGACCTTCAGTCAACGCACAAGGCTCCATCCGCCGCTTCACCTTGCACTGCACCACACGCCGCTGCCGGCGATGGCGGATGAAATAGTTGGGAAAGGGGGGGGGGGGGGGCGTGGGGAAGGGGAAGGGGAAGGGGAAGGGGAAGGGGAAGGGGAAGGGGAAGGGGAAGGGGAAGGAGACGGTGCCTTCGCCAACTCTCAAGGCTCCCTGAACCAGGGAGGGAGGAGGAGGGGGAGGGTGCAGGAAAGTTCATGCATTAAGCGATTCCAAAGGTCCGCGCTTTCCCTTCATCAACCGCCCCTTGCTGCCAAGTTCGAGGTTCAGGGGTGCGGGTTCAAGGTTCAAGGTTCGGGGTTTAAACAAAAGATTTTCATGGAAAGGTTCATAGAGAAGTCATTGCATGGCAAGAGGGGGGATGGTGCCGCTCCATCGTCCAACCACAGGCTGCTACCTGCCTCGAACCATGATGACAGCCAAGGCACCCATTTCCCCTTTTTTAAACGGCCAGAACGGAGCTCGAACGAATCTTCTCTTTGCACCACGCACGCCCTTCCACGCTCGTCCCCGCAAACCAAACGAGGAAAAAGCGAGGGTCTCGGAGGGGCGTGCAACGGCTATGGAGTCCCTACCTCTTTTCGCACGCCTCCTCGCGGCGGCCGGTGATACGTCAGCGCGTCGCGCGACGAGTCGCCGCGCAGCAGACTGGACGATCCGAACGACATGCTTCTCGCCGACGACCCGAACGAAATGCTTGTCGCTGACGAACCAAGCGACATGCGACGAGTAGTACTACTCGTCGCACAGCGTGTCGCCGAGAATGGGCGGGCTACGATATGTCGTGACGCGAGGAACCCGCGCCGCGGAGCCTGGTGCCAGCATGCCATCGTAGCGGGTTTCCCCCCGCCTTTACCGCCGCCATTCCCGCCGACGACAATAAAGCCTGCGCGCTCGGATGACCGATTCCTTATAGACCCATTTTCAAATGCTTCCTTTCCTATTGGCCCATTCCCGCTTCCCGAAAGCCCCGTGACGCCGTGACTGGCGCACGGGAAAGCTACGCGAGCGATCGACATATTAGTTAATCTCCTCGCGCCTCGATCTCCCCAGATCCGCGTGCTTGGAGACTTGCTGTGGCACTTGCCGCTGCAATTAACTACTCCGCCGCCTACTATTGCGTAGAGACTATTGGAACGACTAGGTGCAGCCGCTGCTCGGATCGCCGCTGTTGTGCGGAGCGGCCACCCTGCGGAAACTCCCCCTCCGCTGGTGATCGCACGTGGAAGCGGAGCTGGTTGAAGGGCGCACGGACAGGCGGGCATGGCGGGGGGAAGAGCGCACGGGCAGGGGGGAAGGATGGCGTCTGCCGGTGCCCGCCAGGCTGCGCGCCAAGTGGACGCGGGGAGAGCGGTGCGCGCAGTTGCGATGCAGGCGGAGCAGCGCAGCAGGCGGGAGAGCGCGGAGGAACGAGCGGAAAACATTCAAGGAGATGGGATGGAGATCACTTCGTGAAAATATATACGGGGCGACTCACGCCCGGATGTATTCTAGGGAAGAAAACCGCAGATAAACTAATGTAATGGACTGGCTAATCAGGGCGCATGCGTATGCATGTTCACGTAGTTCCTCGATTCCGATTAGACGTGTAAGATAACTCGAGGTGTCTACAAAGAAGGGACGTGCTTCCGTAGGCTCCAAGTCCTACTACCTCCTAGGTTCAGAAATTATATCTCTGGTTCGACAAACTGAGAGAGCCTGAATTCTCGGGCTTCAATCTGAGCGTTGGTTTACTTCAAATGGACGAGCCTCCATGGCCTAAATACTGCCGCCGACATGCCTCCATGCGCGAGGCTGAATGAGAGCCTTGATCTCCTCGGAAGTGGGGTCGCTGACATCTTGGGAGGAGCAAGCCGTATTTGATACTCCATTTTGTCGGGGTTTCGATGTGATTGACAGCGCAGTTTTTGATGATTTGCAGGTGAGATTGGGTGTCGGAATATCGAAGCGTTTCCAGTTCGATACGAGACCTTGGCGTCCTGCAGTTCTGTCGTTATTCGAGAACCCAAATTCAACACCACATGTCCCATGCGAAACCTCGCACGGAGTCGGAAAATAGAGAACAGGTCCTTCGATGACGATGAGGGCAAATCCGCCGAACCTAGACTTTCACGTTACCCCCGACAGACGAGCCGCGCCAGTATCCAAACCTGCCCAACAACCTCAACTAGCCGTTGAATCAAACTCGCGCCTTCTACAGTTGATTGATCCTTGAGAAGTGTACAAAGCACAATCGTGAAGGTTCGACCTACTAACGCATTTGTCCACAATTGAACTAGAAACGCATACAACTATCATTGACAAGGTAAACCAAATACACTTCCCCCCCCTCTCTAGCAGCATCTCGTTGCTCAAATCATTAAAGTCAACAAGAACCATTAAATCCTGGCAGTTTGTTACCCATATATTTTTTTCCCAATACATTACCAACTCAAAAACCTCCTCTCGACCTGCTTCTAGCTAAAATTCTAAAGCCCATGTAGACGTACGGTACCTAGCATTCCACCAGCCCCCTCTCGAGAAAAGTGATTAAAACCCAAGATCCGCCAAATTATCCGTTGGGACCGCAAGCCCATCAAGACCCCCCAGCTCTTCCCCCAATAGCAGCTCATCATTTGGCAATCCCGCCAGCCATCCACCAAAGTCATCCCCCTGCACTCCCAGCTCCGGCATCGCCGAACCAAACACCGAACCTGCCGCCAGGTTATCCAGCTCCACCACCTGCTCCAGCTCCGGCTGCGGCGTCGTAGGCATGGCGTTCCGGTTCGGATCCAGGTCCGGGAACTCATCCGCCGAGGCTTTTCTCTTGCCCGACTTCCCCGGACCAACTCCCGAACCTCTCGACCGTTTCCCAAGCGGAATACCATGGCTAAGGCTCGACCCAGGCGCGAAAAAATCCCCCGGAGAAGACCCAAGAGGCTTAGAATCAAAGTCTCCTGCTCCTTCCCACCCAGCCGCAGCAGCAGCAGCAGCAGAAGGATCAAGGACCCCTGAATCGTGACCCGGTGGGGTAGCCACAGGGGGGGTCCCAGCCTGCCCTCCTGCCCCTCTCTGCCCTCCCCCCACCCGGTGCTGCCGCCACCGCCCCTTCTTCCTCTCCCCTCCCGCTCCCCCTCCCCCTCCCTCCCCTCCCCCAGCAAGGCTCGACCGGGCACCAGTGGGGGTGGCACCTGCTGACCCCGCCTCGCCTGTGCGCCTGGCTGGGGAGCCCGCTTTGGTGAAATCCAGGTTGTCCCGGTCTGTTCTTTTCCGCTTGATGTTCCCTGGGAGTAAGGGCACCGGGCCCCCACTGACCCCGCCCCCTGCTGCCCCTGCCGTTCCTGCTCCTGAAAACCCTCCTCTAGACACGCCTCCGGCTCCTCCTGCTGCTGCTGACGTGCCTGCTGCAGCCCTAGCAGCAGCAGCACCGGCACCCATAGAATCATTCGGACTACCACCAGCACCGAACACATCTTCCAGTCGAGCCGTTCTCTCTTTGTGTCTGAACGACCCCTCCAAAGAATCCCCGCCTGCTCCTGCCATTGCTCCCATGCGCTCCCTCCTGCTCTCGCTTCGCCGCAAATTTGTGCGGGAATGTGGTTCTGGGTGGGGATAAGTGGGGAGGGGAAGGGCTGGAGGGTGAGAGAGGGGGATTTGCAGCAATCCCTGTGTGAAAGTCCGGCCAAGGGGAGAGGAGGGGGGGTCGGGGAATAAATGGAGAGAGAAAAGGGAGAATGAGAGAGGGGAAGCACATGGGGACTGGAAGGGGAGGAGAGGAAAGAGAAGGGATGCTTGGGGAGGGGGCCCGTCCGCATCTGCCTGTCACGGTGATGTGTGAATTGACTCAGAAGTCACCTTGATTCGAAATCCACCTTAACTCAGAAGCCACCTTAACTCAAAAGCCACCTTAACTCAAAAGCCACCTTAACTCAAAAGCCACCTTAACTCAAAAGCCACCTTAACTCAAAAGCCACCTTAACTCAAAAGCCACCTTAACTCAAAAGCCACCTTAACTCAAAAGCCACCTTAACTCAAAAGCCACCTTAACTCAAAAGCCACCTTAACTCAAAAGCCACCTTAACTCAAAAGCCACCTTAACTCAAATGCCACCTTAACTCAAAAGCCACCTTAACTCAAAAGCCACCTTAACTCAAATGCCACCTGATTCTGTAAGTCACCGTAACTCAAAAGTCACCTCGACTCACAACTCACCTCTTTTAAGTCAATCCGAAAGTCACTCTGCCATGCACCTTCTCTGAGGCTTCTCAGCCAACACACTCGTCTCTCAGCCTACTACCACCCACACTAAACCCTAAAGGCTGTCACAGAGCGACCCAGCAATGGGCATAGACGCCACCAGGCTATCCACCTCTGCCTCTCCAAGTAACTTGTGAGTCAACTTAGAACGAACCTCCACCCAGGATCAACAACGCACCTTCCCTGAAGCTGTCACAGGGCGACCCAGCAATGAGCATCGACGCCACCAGGCTATCCGCCTCTGCCTCCCGCACGCCTCCCCCTGCCCCCCCTGCTCCACCCTCTTCACCACCACCAGCCCCTCGCAGGGGACTCAGCCCAGCAATTTCCAGTGCAGGAGATTCCCCTCCCATTGCGGTGTCATTAGCACCAACACCAGCAGCAGTAGCTGCTGCAGTGGCGGTGGCGGCGGTGGCGGTGGGAGCGAAGGAGAGAGGGATGGGAGGGCGGGGTGGGGACGGGGGGAAGAGCGCGAGTCTTTGGCGGTTGAACAGGGAGAGGAGGCCAGGGGCAGAGGCGCCTGCACCAGATAAACCTGCCCCAGAACCGTCCAAACCACCTGCACCAGCACCAGCAGCACCAGCAGGGGCACTTGCTGTCCCCCCTGGTGTTGTCACCACCCCAGAACTCCTCCCCACTCCTCCCAACCCAGGAGTACCCACACCGCCAGGCCCGGGCGTCCACGGCAGCGGGCTAGGCTCGGCGAGCAGGCTCGGCGAGGGCTGCAGGTCCGGGTGCACGCGCTGCAGGTGCGGCAGCAGCGTGCCGGCGTGCCATTGGTCGGCGCGATGCAGGGCTCGGCGCACAAAGTGGACGGCGGACTGGCGGGCGAGCTTGAGAGAGGAGCCCGCGCCCTTGGTGATTGTTCCTGCTGCTCCCGCCATCTTGAGACCCTGAAAAGAAGGGGAGGAAGGGGGTTGAGGGGAAGATGAGGAGTGGTTTAACAAGAGTCCCCTCTTCCTGCCTGCCGCCCCTCAACGTTCTGCAGGTTCTTCCTTCCCCACTGGAACCACCCGGCCTGCCACTCCTCGGCGCGCTGCAGGCTCGGCACACAAAGTGGACGGGGGCCTGGTGGGCGAGCTTGAGGGAGAATCCAGCTCCTTTGGTGATTGTTCCCGCTGCCCCTGCCATCTTGAGGCCCTGAAAAGAGGGGAGGAATGGGGGTAGGAAGGGGAAGAGCAAGAGTGGTTGAACAAGAGTCCTCCCTTCCTTCCTGCCGGCCGCTGCTCAACGTCCTGCCAGTCCTTTTTGGAAGCAGCCGGCGTGCCAGCCCCTAGGGAGCACAAGAGTCTCCTCAGCGCGCTGCAGGGCTCGGCGCACAAAGTGGACGGCGGACTGGCGGGCGAGCTTGAGGGACGAGCCCGCGCCCTTGGTGATTGTTCCTGCTGCTCCCGCCATCTTGAGACGAGGTGAGGTGACGTGAGGTGAGGTGTGGTGCGGTGTGGTGTGGTGTGGTGGTGTGGTGTGCGCACCGTTCTTCTGGCATAGGCCATTTCCAGCAGCCGATCCACCACCAGCTTCTCTAGTGAGAGAGAAGGGGCTTTTGAGTTGTATGGTACGTACCGCGGTGTGAGGAGACCAGATGGGAAGAGAGGGGGGGGGGGGGGGGAGGGGGCAGTGGTGGGGTGTGCGTACCGTTCTTCTGGCATAGGCCATTTCCAACAGCCGATCCACCACCAGCTTCTCACAGCTCCTGCCAGCCAAAACCGCACAGCACCACACAGCGCAGCACAGCACAGAGACGAACCAGTTGGGTGGCGAATTTGGTAAGAGGGATGAAACCAGGTGGTTGCAACTTTTTCGATTATCCAACAGGCAGCCAATACGCGCTTATATCAACAGCTTCTCACAGCAAACCCCTCCCTCCCTTCACCCTTCACCCACCTTTCCTCCTCCAGTCGTCTTGATACCACCACCTCTTCCAAATACGCTGCCTTGTGCTGGTTGTGCTGCGCCTGGGGGCAGAGGGAAGGTGGGGAGAGAGCAGGATGGAAAGGGCTGGGAGATTAAGGAAAAGCGCAGTGAGGCATGCCACCAGTCGTCTTGACGCCACCACCACCATCAACAGATACGCTGCCTTTTGCTGGTTGGGCTGCGCCTGGGGGCAGAGATGAGGAAAGAGAAGGAGAAAGAAGGAGGGAGGGAGAAGGAGGTGTAAGACCAAGCAGGAGTTGTTCCTGCTAGGAATGTGAGAAAGGAGAGGAAGGTTCCGAGGTGACTTTTGAGTCGACTCAAAAGAGAAGGAGGTGTAAGAACAAGCAGGAGTTGTTCCTGCTAGGAATGTGAGAGAAAGGAGAGGAAGGTTCCGAGGTGACTTTTGAGTCGACTCAAAAGAGAAGGAGGTGTAAGAACAAGCAGGAGTTGTTCCTGCTAGGAATGTGAGAGAAAGGAGAGGAAGGTTCCGAGGTGACTTTTGAGTCGACTCAAAAGAGAAGGAGGTGTAAGAACAAGCAGGAGTTGTTCCTGCTAGGAATGTGAGAGAAAGGAGAGGAAGGTTCCGAGGTGACTTTTGAGTCGACTCAAAAGAGAAGGAGGTGTAAGAACAAGCAGGAGTTGTTCCTGCTAGGAATGTGAGAGAAAGGAGAGGAAGGTTCCGAGGTGACTTTTGAGTCGACTCAAAAGAGAAGGAGGTGTAAGAACAAGCAGGAGTTGTTCCTGCTAGGAATGTGAGAGAAAGGAGAGGAAGGTTCCGTATCCAGCTCGCCTTGACCCACTTTGACCCACATGCGAAGGTGGGCGCTAACCTCATCGTATCACCTTGACTCACTCTCACCACAGCTTGTGCCTGTGCCGCGCTCACCTTGGCCTGCAGTCGCCTGTGGGACATGCGAAGGCTGGTGCTGATCTCATCGTCCTGCCTTGACCCACATTGACTCACCTCCACTCGCTCTCACCTTGACCTGCAGTCGCCTGTGGGACATGCGAAGATTGGCACTCATCTCGTCGTATCGCCCTGACTCGCCCTGAATCGCCCTGACTCGCCCTGACTCGCCCTGACTCGCCCTGACTCGACCTGACTCGCCTTGACTCCCCCTGACTCGCCCTGACTCGCCCTGACTCGCCCTGACTCGCCCTGACTCGCCCTGACTCGCCTTGACTCGCATTGACTCGCCCTGACTCGCCTTGACTCGCCTTGACTCGCCCTGACTCGCCTTGACTTGCCCTGACTCGCCCTGACTCGCTCTGACTCGCCCTGACTCGCCCTGACTCGCCCTGACTCGCCCTGACTCGCCCTGACTCGCCCTGACTCGCCCTGACTCGCCCTGACTCGCCCTGACTCGCCTTGACTCGCCTTGAATCGCCTTGACTCTCTCTCTCATCACGGCTTGCGCCTGTGCCGCACTCACCTTGGCCTGCAGTCGCCTGTGCCGCGCTCACCTTGGCCTGCAGTCGCCTGTGCCGCGCTCACCTTGGCCTGCAGTCGCCTGTGCCGCGCTCACCTTGGCCTGCAGTCGCCTGTGCCGCGCTCACCTTGGCCTGCAGTCGCCTGTGCCGCGCTCACCTTGGCCTGCAGGCGCCTGTGCCGCGCTCACCTTGGCCTGCAGGCGCCTGTGCCGCGCTCACCTTGGCCTGCAGTCGCCTGTGCCGCGCTCACCTTGGCCTGCAGTCGCCTGTGCCGCGCTCACCTTGGCCTGCAGTCGCCTGTGCCGCGCTCACCTTGGCCTGCAGTCGCCTGTGCCGCGCTCACCTTGGCCTGCAGTCGCCTGTGCCGCGCTCACCTTGGCCTGCAGTCGCCTGTGCCGCGCTCACCTTGGCCTGCAGTCGCCTGTGCCGGGCTCACCTTGGCCTGCAGTCGCCTGTGCCGCGCTCACCTTGGCCTGCAGGCGCCTGTGCCGCGCTCACCTTGGCCTGCAGTCGCCTGTGCCGCGCTCACCTTGGCCTGCAGTCGCCTGTGCCGCGCTCACCTTGGCCTGCAGTCGCCTGTGCCGCGCTCACCTTGGCCTGCAGGCGCCTGTGCCGCGCTCACCTTGGCCTGCAGGCGCCTGTGCCGCGCTCACCTTGGCCTGCAGGCGCCTGTGCCGCGCTCACCTTGGCCTGCAGGCGCCTGTGCCGCGCTCACCTTGGCCTGCAGTCGCCTGTGCCGCGCTCACCTTGGCCTGCAGTCGCCTGTGCCGCGCTCACCTTGGCCTGCAGGCGCCTGTGCCGCGCTCACCTTGGCCTGCAGTCGCCTGTGCCGCGCTCACCTTGGCCTGCAGTCGCCTGTGCCGCGCTCACCTTGGCCTGCAGTCGCCTGTGTCGCGCTCACCTTGGCCTGCAGTCGCCTGTGCCGCGCTCACCTTGGCCTGCAGTCGCCTGTGCCGCGCTCACCTTGGCCTGCAGTCGCCTATGCCGCGCTCACCTTGGCCTGCAGTCGCCTGTGCCGCGCTCACCTTGGCCTGCAGTCGCCTGTGCCGCGCTCACCTTGGCCTGCAGTCGCCTGTGCCGCGCTCACCTTGGCCTGCAGTCGCCTGTGCCGCGCTCACCTTGGCCTGCAGTCGCCTGTGCCGCGCTCACCTTGGCCTGCAGTCGCCTGTGCCGCGCTCACCTTGGCCTGCAGTCGCCTGTGCCGCGCTCACCTTGGCCTGCAGGCGCCTGTGCCGCGCTCACCTTGGCCTGCAGTCGCCTCTGCCGCGCTCACCTTGGCCTGCAGTCGCCTGTGCCGCGCTCACCTTGGCCTGCAGGCGCCTGTGCCGCGCTCACCTTGGCCTGCAGGCGCCTGTGCCGCGCTCACCTTGGCCTGCAGTCGCCTGTGCCGCGCTCACCTTGGCCTGCAGTCGCCTGTGCCGCGCTCACCTTGGCCTGCAGTCGCCTGTGCCGCGCTCACCTTGGCCTGCAGTCGCCTGTGCCGCGCTCACCTTGGCCTGCAGTCGCCTGTGCCGCGCTCACCTTGGCCTGCAGTCGCCTGTGCCGCGCTCACCTTGGCCTGCAGTCGCCTGTGCCGCGCTCACCTTGGCCTGCAGTCGCCTGTGCCGCGCTCACCTTGGCCTGCAGTCGCCTGTGCCGCGCTCACCTTGGCCTGCAGTCGCCTGTGCCGCGCTCACCTTGGCCTGCAGGCGCCTGTGCCGCGCTCACCTTGGCCTGCAGTCGCCTGTGCCGCGCTCACCTTGGCCTGCAGTCGCCTGTGCCGCGCTCACCTTGGCCTGCAGGCGCCTGTGCCGCGCTCACCTTGGCCTGCAGTCGCCTGTGCCGCGCTCACCTTGGCCTGCAGTCGCCTGTGCCGCGCTCACCTTGGCCTGCAGTCGCCTGTGCCGCGCTCACCTTGGCCTGCAGTCGCCTGTGCCGCGCTCACCTTGGCCTGCAGTCGCCTGTGCCGCGCTCACCTTGGCCTGCAGTCGCCTGTGCCGCGCTCACCTTGGCCTGCAGGCGCCTGTGCCGCGCTCACCTTGGCCTGCAGTCGCCTGTGCCGCGCTCACCTTGGCCTGCAGTCGCCTGTGCCGCGCTCACCTTGGCCTGCAGTCGCCTGTGCCGCGCTCACCTTGGCCTGCAGTCGCCTGTGCCGCGCTCACCTTGGCCTGCAGTCGCCTGTGCCGCGCTCACCTTGGCCTGCAGTCGCCTGTGCCGCGCTCACCTTGGCCTGCAGTCGCCTGTGCCGCGCTCACCTTGGCCTGCAGTCGCCTGTGCCGCGCTCACCTTGGCCTGCAGTCGCCTGTGCCGCGCTCACCTTGGCCTGCAGTCGCCTGTGCCGCGCTCACCTTGGCCTGCAGTCGCCTGTGCCGCGCTCACCTTGGCCTGCAGTCGCCTGTGCCGCGCTCACCTTGGCCTGCAGTCGCCTGTGCCGTGCTCACCTTGGCCTGCAGTCGCCTGTGCCGCGCTCACCTTGGCCTGCAGTCGCCTGTGCCGCGCTCACCTTGGCCTGCAGTCGCCTGTGGGACATGCGAAGGCTGGCGCTGATCTCATCGTCCTGCCGATGCGCCTCCTGCAGCTGAAAAGGGGTTGGGAAGGAAGCGGGGGGGAATGGGGTTGGATGTGCCCCAGGACCCAGGGGACGGGGAGGGAAGGGTTGGGGGGGGAAGGGAATGAGGATGGGGACATGAGGCTGGCACTGATTTCATTGTCCTGCCGCTGCGACTCCTGCAGGTGGTAGTGCGGAGGGGAGGTGTGGGAGGGTAGGTATAAGAAGAGGGATGTGTGGGAATGTGTGTGTGGGTTCAGGGACAAAAGGGAATGGGGGTGAGGATGGGGAAGGGGATGGGGATCAGGACATGAGAAGGCTGGCGCAAGGGATGGGATGAGGAGTGGGACATGTGAAGGTGGGGACTGAACTGATCGTCCTGCCGCTGTGCCTCCTGCAGCTGTGAGGGGAGAGAGGGCAGGGATGGGGGGAGGAGGGAAAGGGATGCCGAAAGAGGAGGGATGGGGGGAGGAGGGGAAGGGAATGGGGATGGGGACATGCGGAATGGGCGCTCTTGCTGCTGCGACTCGTGCAGCTGGAGGGGTGGGTGGGGGTGTGGGAGCGTGGGCGTGTTCTAAGGCACAAAAGGGAATGGGGATGCGGATGGGGAAGGGGATAGGTATGGGGAAGGGGATGGGGATGAGTATGAGGATTGGGATAGGGTGGGGATGGACATTTGTTGAGTGTGAGGATGGGTATGGGCATGAGGATGGGGTTAGAAACGGGGTGAGATGAGATCCAATCGCTGCCCACTCTGTCTTACCCCATCCACTCGTCTTACCCCATGCACGCGCAGCAGTCCCACATGAGCCAACTCCAAACGCACCCTTGCCTCCAGCCCCATCCCTCTCCACTCCTCCGCACTCAACGCCCCCCCTCCTCCATTCCCCCTCTCTCCCCCTCCCCCTCCCAACAGCCCTGTCCCTGCCCCCCTCCCCCCCTCCATCTGCCCCCAAATCTGCCCACTGTTGGGCTGCCAGCTGTTTGATTGGCTGTTTCTAATTCGACCGAAATCAACCTGCCCCCATGTGTGTGACTGTGACAGTAACGAAGGGCCCCGAAGCAGGTTCCCGGAAAGTGCTGCATCAGATAACACCTCCCCTTCTGCAGGTAAAACCCACTCTACCTCCCCTCCTTCCGTTCCTCCTCCATTCTTCCCCCTCTTTCCCCCTGCTGCTGCTCCTCCATCCCCCCCACCCCCATTCTCCAAAACACCCCTTAAAAACCCCTCCTCGTCCTCCTCTCCTTCGTCCTTCGCACCTTCTCTCTCCCCTTTCCCTCTCTTTTCACCATCCCCTTCCTTTTCCTCCACCTCTTCCTCCTCCTCCTCCTCCTCCTCGTCCTCCTCCTCTTCCTCATCCTTACACTCTCCTCCGTCACTCCCACCCTCCTTGCCCCCGCCCTGCCTCGGGCAATCAATCAAAGCAGACAACAGCCGATTCACCATCGACTCACCAACCACTCCTCCCCACTCCCTCCCATTCCCTCTCGAACCTCCTTCCAAACCTGCTCCACCAAACCCTAATCCTCCTCCCGCCCCTTCTAGCCCCCCTGCGGGCGGTGTTACAGCCATGAGAGAGGGGAGAGCATGCAGGGGGCCAGGGGGGCGAGACTCTGAGCCTCCCATTAACAACCCCACCACGTTCCCATTCCCATTCCCGTTGCCGTGGCTGTTAGCGTTACCGTTACTGTTACAGTTACCAGCTACACCGGCTGCTGCGGCATCAACACCAGCAGCACCTGCTGCTCCCTCTGTTGCTCCAGACTGCACAAGCAAGAGGGAAGAAATAGTAAATTGGGATGGAGAGAGAGAAAAAAAGGGATCGAGGGCGGCTACAAGCACTGTGATGTCTGTGGTGGGTCTGTGTGTCTGTCTCTTGCTGCTCCCTCTGCTGCTCCCTCTGTGGCTCCCGACTGGAGGCGCATTGGAATGGAGAGGGAAGGAGGCATTTGGGTTGGGGTCGAGTTTGAAGGGGAAGAAAGGGATTGCAAGTGGTGGGATCCGCCAGTCTCCTCCTGCACCTGCTGCTCCCTCTGTTGCTCCAGACTGCAAAAAGAGTGGGATGTAGAGGGAAGAGAACGGTTAGGATCAAGAGGGAAGATAAATGATTATGGGAGTTGCAGATGCTGGGCTGGGCTAGGATGGCTGTGGTGGTGGGGTCTGTAAGTCCGTCTCTTGCGCCTGCTGCTCCCTCTGTGACTCCAAACTGCACAAGAATTGGATGCAGAGGGAGGAGAACGATTGGGATGGAGAGGGATAGTAAGGGATTGAGTGGGATAGCGGGTGGTGGGCTGCTTGTTGTGGTGGAGTCTCCGTTTCTGTCTGCCTTTGCCGATGCTGCAGTTGAGTTCCCCCTGTCGTTTGCTGCTCCCGACTGCACATGTGTTTCCCTCTGTGTTTCCAGACAGCTCAATTGTTGCACTTGAGAGGGAAGACAACGTTTTAACGGGATCGCAAATGCAACTGAGCCTGACTCCCCAAACTGGATTTCTAGAGACCAAAACACTGAAGTAATAGAAAGAAAGAAAAATAGCATAGTCACATCTCAGTTTTCATTAATCAACTCACCATCTGCCTCAGTCTTGCGAGGTCCTCTGGAGCAGGAAAGTGGAAGAATGGCTCCACGGCCTTCCAAAAGGGGCTGGACGCCGCTGCAGCTGCACGCATGGAAGTGGGTGGGGGCGCAAGGGGAAGGAAGAGATATTGGGTTGAGTCTGAGTCAGTGGCACTGCAGGGAGCCATCTCCTTGCACTGCAGGAAAGTGGAAGAATGGCTCAACTGCTTTCCAAAAGGGGCTGGACGCTGCTGCAGCTGCAGGCGTGGCAAGGATGGGGGCGGGAAAGGGAGGAGGGTGAGTTAGCATTGCTGTACTGCCTCCCAGAAGGGGCTGAGTTGGGTTAGAAATGATGAATCAGTGGTGTTGTGGTTCTTTATTTGAGAGAAGTGGAAGAATGACTCAACGGCCTTCCAGAAGGGGCTGGACGCTGCTGCAGCTGCAGGCGTGAGAGAGTGGTGGGGGTTGTGGAAAAAGGGGGGGTAGGGTAGGGGGGATGAAGTGGGGGGTTTGGAAAGGGGTGATGAGTGTAATTTGCGCCATGATACTAACTCAAGGGAAGTGGAAGAATGAATCAACAGCCGAGGTGTACTTTGAGGCGCCTCAAAATACACCTCAATGCTCATGAGTGTAAGTTGCGCCATAATACTCATTCAAGGGAAGTGGAAGAACGGCTCAACAGCCATACAGAATGGGCTGGACACTGCTACAGCTGCACGCGTGGCAGGGTGGGGGGTGGGAAGAAAGGGGGAAGATGGTTTGGGAAAGGAGAGGGGGCTTTGAATCTGGGAGAGAAGGAGGATGGCGAGTCAGCGATGTCGTACCCTTCATTCACGACCTGCCAGAAGGGACTAGAAGCAGCAGCAGCGTACGTTGGAGGAAAGGAGGGGTGAAGGGGAGGAGGTGGGTAGGGTGATGAGTCAGTGAGTGCTGTGCTGTACTCTTCATTCACGGGAAATAAGATAAGCTGCACGGCAGCTGCAGCTCGGAAACGATATAGCAGCTCTGGATTATGGGCCTAAAGACTGGTAAGACTGGACTGGTATGGTACACACGCATGATGCATGCACGCGTACATGCATGCACCACTCGCCAGGCCAGGGGTTTTGCCAAGCCAATAGCCTCGGAAAGAGCCTCACCAAGCCTCGTCAGGAGCCTCACCTCCTGTGTTCATGGCTGCCTGAATGGCATTCGATAGCTCCTCCGCATCATCGTCCGAATCTCCTGAAAAGAGCAGAAAAGGGAGCATATAAGAAGTTGTTATCAGCAATAATGATAACAATAACAAGATATCAGCATCGCACTCACCTAAGAGAAACACTTACCGGACTCCTCCATTGGGCTGTCTGCATGCATGCGCCTCTGCACGCTGCATGCAAGGACGGACGCATGGGAGCATGTCCCCAAGCTGTTTCTGCAAAAGACTTACCGGACTCCTCCATTGGGCTGTCTGCATGCATGCGCCTCTGCACGCTGCATGCAAGGACGGACGCATGGGAGCATGTCCCCAAGCTGTTTCTGCAAAAGACTTACCGGACTCCTCCATTGGGCTGTCTGCATGCATGCGCCTCTGCACCCTGTTGGCTGCATTGCGCCTGTCCACCCTGCCGCCCCTGGTTGGTTGGGATTGGCGAGAAGGAATAACAGGAGAGCGTACGTGAGAGGAGGGATGAGAGGATACATGCGAGGGAGGGAAAGCGCATGCATGCGCCTCTGCACCCTGTTGGCTGCATTGCGCCTGTCTACCCTGCCGCCCCTGGTTGGTTGGAGTGTATGTTTTTTTAGAATTCTCAAAAAACATACACTGAGAATTCTCAAAAACATACAGAGCGTACGTGAGAGGAGGGATGAGAGGATACATGGGAGGGAGGGACAGCGCATGCATGCGCCTCGCCTCTGCACCCTGTTGGCTGCATTGCGCCTGTCGAACCGGTTGCTTCGTCTTCGTGCTAAACTCTTTTTCTCTCTCTCTCTCTCTCAAAAACCGCCCACAAGGATGACAACATAAGAGCCTCACCTCTCTCCTTTGTCCAATCCCAGCCGTGACGTACGAATCTGCTTGACATTATTCGCCACTCCAACCACTCCTCCTGCACCACCACCACCACCACTGCCCCCTCCACCCGCAGCAGCGGCAGCACCACCAGCACCACCAGCACCACTAGGACCACTACCACCACTAGCCAGCATCCCGCCATCGTCCCCCCCTTCACTTCCCACACTAACCACAGCTTCCTTTTTCAATCTCAACCCCCCAGCAGCCACTAATCTCCCCGTCCTCCCCTGTCTCCTCACCCCATCCGCCCCTCCCGCCCCTCCCCCTCCTCCACCTCCCCCTTCCTCCTTCACTACCCCCCCTCCTCCCTCTGCTTTCTCTCTCACCCTCCCCAGCTTGCCCTTTTTGTCTTTTCTCCGCACCTTAGCCAATCCCGTGCCTCGGGACTGGACCTCCGACAATCCTCCTGCCTCACCTCCCCCTCCTCCCCCTGCTCCTCCTAAGCTCTCCCCCGCGCCCCCCAAATGCCCCCCCACACTCCCGCTTTCTGTAGGCCAAAGCCCCCCCCCGTCCCGCCCACCCCCTCCCCCTTCCCCATCCATCTCCTCCCCCCCATACCCCTCCTCGTCTCCCTCCCCACCCCCCTCACTCACCCCCACAGACCCTAACGGTGACATAGCCATACCTAGACCAGCTCCAGCTCCCCCTCCCGCTCCCCCTCCTCCCCCTGCTGCTGCTGCGCCAATGCCCCCTGATCCTCCCCCTGCTCCTCCCCCTGCACCGCCAACTCCTCCTCCCCCTCCTGCTGCTGCTTTATGCAGCTTGCCTGGCTTTCTCCCCCTGCTAGTAGGGGGGAGCCCAGACTGATTTCCTTGCTGATGATGCTGCTGCTGGTGATGCGGCTGGTGCTGCTGATCCCACGATCCAGCCCCATCCCCTGCGCCCTCTCTCTCAGACTGCACGGAGTGAGCAGGGGAAGAAGCTCGTGCCCCAAACGCCCCTTTCCTCTCTGCTGCTCCCGCTCCCACCTTTCTCACCGCTCCTCCCCCACCTCCTCCACCTCCTGCTCCTCCTCCGCCTGCTCCTGCGTTCCCCATTCCGCCCGAGCCTGCCTTATCCCCTCCGCCCAGCGTCCTAGGACCGCGGGTTGCTCGTCCTTTAGTGATCCCCGCTCCCCCTCCCTCTCCCCCTCCCACTCCGCCTCCCCCTCCGCCTCCACTGCTCTTGGGCGCATTCTCTTCCCCCTGAAGCGGGCTTCCAGGCACAGACGAGCCTCCCCCTCCGCCCCCACCACTCCCCCCGGCTCGCATGGTGCCGAATCTCCCACTAGCATCCCTTGTCTGGTGTAACCCTAACCCCTTGCCCGCCTGTCCCTTAGGCCCGCTCTCACTACCTGCTCCCCCTCCCCCCCCCACCTCCCCCTCCTCCTCCCCCTCCTATTCCCCCTCCTCCCCCCTCACCAGCGCCCGCCCTGCTTCCAGAAGTCACCCCATGCACAGGTCCGGCTCGAAACACCGAGCCTGACCCCGAGCCTGCTGCCGAGCCTCCAGGCTTGTGCGAAGAGCTCGAAAGGGATCGCTTGAGGCCCCCTCCCGCGCCTGTTGCTGCAGCAGAAGCACCAGCAGCACCAGCAGCACCGGCAGTACCAGCACCAGTACCAGCAGCAGCAAGTGATTCTGTTACTACGCCGTTAAGACTCCCTCCTGGTGCAGCTGCAGTCCCTGCAGCATCCGCCTTGGGTCGAGAACGCTTGCCCTTCATCTTCCTGTGCTGCTGCTGCCCCCCCTCGTGGCCGCTTGCCCCTGCTGCTCCTCCTCCTGCTGCTCCAGCTCCTGCAAGGTGCTTTTGTTCCGAGGCGTTTTCATGGTTCGACTGGTGGTGGAAAGGAGAGGGTGGGCCGAACAGATGGTGGGAGGGAGAAGAGAAGGGAAGCATTGGAGGATGACGACAAAACTGCTGAATAGACTCCTCAGTTTATTGAAAGAACAAACTAACTAACAACTGAGGAGGGTAGTGGGAAAGAGGAGAGGAATGGGGAAGCAAGGAGAGGAGATTAAGGGAGGGACAAAGAAGCAGAAAACAGAATTGGAAAAGCAATGTGGATTGGGGACAAGGGGATAGATTGGACAGAACACACACTGGAAGGCAGGCTTTACAAGAAAAGGTGCAACACAAGAATGAAAGTGGCAAGAAGGAAAGCGAAGGTAGCTGGAAGGGCAGGTGGCACGGTGGAAAAGGGTACGGTTCAGCGGTGCAGAACGGACAAGCACGAATGAATTGCTGACACGGGAATGGGCTCAGAAGTGGTCAACGGGGTCAACGGGAGTCAAGGGGGGTCTCATCGAAATTCAATGGGAGTCAACCGGAGTCAACGGGAGTCAATGGAGGCAACGCACCAATGTGCGCGCATGCCGGTTCGCCCCACCCCCAGCTTTAGAGTGCCCCGGCCCTGTCCGCCCCCCTCCTCCGCCCCCACCACCACCACCACCACCACCACCACCACCACCAGCCCCTCCTCCCGCTGCTCCAACCCCAGCAGCACCATCACCAGCGCTCCCACTGCTTCGGCTGTTATCTCCTGGCGTGCCAGCAGCCCCGCTGGCGCCGCCACCGCTGACAGCAGCGCTACCAGCAGCGGTGTTGGCTCCGTCGCCCCTGGCCCCGCGCCTCCTCATGCTCACACCGTTGAGCCACGTGTCGAGACGTGATAAGGCGTCCTGCAGATGTCGAGTACGATCCCTGGAGAAGGGGGAGAGTGGAGGAGGGGAAGGGTGGGGGGAGGAGAACGGGGAGGGGGAAGGGGGGAGAGAGAAGAGGGAAGAGGGAAGAGGAGAGAGGGGAGAGGGGAGGGGGGAGGAGAAGGAGTGCTGCGTGAGAAAGGATAGCTCTGAAGTCGGTCTGAAGTTTGATTCGTAAACTTGGGCAGCACGGAGAACGGGAATCAGCCATGATTGGCTCGAGCTCAGCTGCTGATAATAAGAGGCCAATCAAGCTACAAGAACAGCAGCGGCGGCGGTGGCGGCGGCGGCGTCAGTGGCAGCAGCATCAGTAGCAACTGGAGCGGCAGGGGCAGCAACAGCACTGAAAGGAGACAAAGGAGGAGGACGAAAAGGAGGGATCTTACTAGCAACTACCGTCAGAAAAGGAAGATAATATAGTTCACGGGTACACTGACATAAAAACGGGAAGGAAAGGGCACACACAATGTGACACTAACGAGCGGGGAAGATTACCAAACGTTTAGGGTCACTTTGAGGACCAATCCCCTGATGCACATTGCACAACGACTCCAGGCACTCCCACGAGGATCAAAGTGACTAATTTAGAAACGCCCACCATAACCGATGTGACTGTATCGAACACCCCCCATAGAATACCAAATGCCTCACCTTGCACGATCTCGACCATCCCTCAGCGCCGTCACCATCCTCCTCCGCTCCTCTCCCGTTACAGTCACAGCAGGCAAGCCTCCCACAGCTGCCGCCTGGTCCGCTCCCCCTTCCCCCAGTCCCCCCGCAGCTCCCCCCGAAGCACCTTCCCGCGCCTTCCCCACTGCGGAATCCAACTCCGCGTGTCTCCCGAACCGTAGTTCCCCCGTAGAGAGCTCTTCCAACGACAGAATGCGCGCGAGAGACGATTCTCCACGAGAGGCGGAACCTCCGCCAGCGGCGGAGCCTCCCCCGGCAGCGGACGCTCCCCCAGCAACGCCTTTCCCCGCGAACCCTGCACCGGTTCCGCCGCCGGAACCGCCCGCGCAGACTCCGCCTCCCCCGAGTTTCCCCTCGTCCGCCAATTCCGCGGAAGCCATTCCCCCCACTGGTCGACCCGAGAGGCCGGGACCCTCCGGACCAGCTGGCCGATCGTTATTGGTGTCTGGAAACCCTTGATCGCCGGGCTGCAATCTCTGCTGACCTGGCAGCGACGAATGTGGCTGTTGTTGCTGACCTGTCACTTGGTCGGTGGCAGGCCAGCCTGATGCGAAGTCGCTACCCTCCTGGTCTTGCAAGTAGTCGTATTGGCGATCCATGGATTTGGCTACGAATCCTAACATACGCGGGATGGACTAGCGTAAGAGAGACGAGGGTATTTTTCTTCGGCTCGCGTTAGCGGACACGGACGGACTGGCGACAATGGCGTCCTCACCAGACACTTGAAAAATGCGGTAGTCAGTGTGACGGTGAAGGTGAAGCAAGCGATTTAAAGCTTAAGAGCTTGCGAGCCAGCCGCAAGCCGCGAGAATAAATGATGAGAGACGATAATAGTGGATGCGACTAATGAAACGATTGGCAATGGCACAGCATGGCGCGACGCGCTGCCATAGCGGGAAGAGTGATTGGGTGAATGCTGTCTGACAGCTCGAAACCCTAAACAGATTGAAACTGAAAGTAGCTGCGAGCCACAACTCCATACTCTCTATCGGAATCACTCTGTTACCCATTGTGGCAGTTTTCAGATAGCTTATGTGCAACTATTGGGCCTTTTTGCTGATGCCATAATATTATTTAATTCATGGCATTAATTAGCTCATTTACAAACTTAGTTTAATTATATTCTATTCAGTATATTAATGAGACTACATGGAATCAAATTCCATATGGAATTAATGGTGGAAAAAAATATTCGTCTTCGTTAATTAGTCACGATAAATATTATTTAAGCTTCAACTTCATTTAATGAATATTTATGAGAAACAATATTTCATACGATTGAATGCATGGACCTGTCTATATGATGATTACCATATTATGCTATTGTGTTGCATAAAATTGGAGTAGTATGGAATGAGTATGCCTCAATATAGTTCTGTTTACTACAGGCTGACAATTCAGGACCAGGCGAAACTCCCAACGAGTTTCAAAGCTGACACAGTGCGGAAACGATGCGCATTCCAGGATCAGTGGAGCCCAGCCAGTTGCGAGTGGCCTGACGACGGCTGACTGGCTCCAAGAAAGAAAAAGGAGCTGCTCCCTGAAGGAGGGGGGGTCCTTCTTCCAGCCAATTGATGCCTGTTCTGCTGCACAGGCAGGAGGGACTCCTCCAAATCACCAACGTAACTTTTCCATCCCAGCCAATCACTTTCTTCCGCTCGCAGCTTCATATGTATTTTAGACGTTGACACAACCCACACACAAGGCTGTGGAGTAGAGAAATTCGTCATGGCGGCTGCGAAGTGGCTATGCTTCGTTTGCTGCATGTGGATTCTTTCTACAGCCGGAACGTCTGGAACATTCGCCATTTACTCACCCGTCCTGAAAGCCGTAGCAGGTTATGATCAAAAGCACATTCAGGCGCTAGCCGTAGCCAAGGATGTTGGAGAAAGCGTCGGTCTAGTTGCGGGTATCTTGTGCGACTGGCTACCAGGATGGCTTATGCTTCTGGTTGGTGCACTGCACTATTTGACTGGATTTGGTGGTCTGTGGCTCGTAGCTTCGCAGCGCATTCAGCCGCTACCGTTCTGGCAGGTGAGTCCATTAATAACGCGAGTCGGATTGTTTTGACTTCCTGATAGACTCTCGAGGTCGATCCTTACGCATTTCTCTCGCAGATGTGCTCGTTAATTCTAGTTGGAGCTCAAGGGACCGCTTGGTTCAACACAGCAGCTCTTGTGACCTGCATGCGCAATTCTCCAAGATCGCGAGGACCAGTTGTTGGCGTCCTGAAAGGACTGGTTGGCCTTTCGAATGCCATTCTCTCTCAAGCTTACTCAGCTTTTCTAGCTCCGAACCAGCCGTCGTTTCTCTTGGTCCTTGCCGTCGTGCCTTTGGCTGTTGCCGTACCAACCATGAGCTTCGTCAGGTACGGTGTTTTGGTTTCAGATGTCGGTTCACGTATGGATCAAAAGTCTTAATTTGCGTCCTTATCGCAGGTCAGAAAACCGGGTCTTGTACGATGATATTGAGGAGAAAAAGAGCTTCGAAAAAGTCGTCATGTCCTGCACGGGCCTGGCGTGCTATCTTCTTGTTGCAATCTTCGTTGAAGATCAGATGGAACTAACATCTCAGGTGCGTTGACGCGAGGTCAGATGTTACTAACGTTTCAGGTGCGGTGATGCGAATTTGTAAAATATAAATGCTCTGATAAGCTTCACTTGTCCATTTTGGGTAGATCCGGGCGTGGATTTTTGCTGGAATGCTGTTCTTTCTGGTTACACCTTTGGCTGTCCCGGCTGCCCACTTCTTTGAAGAGTTTCACCTGAATTGTTTTCATATTCCAAGAAGAGATGAACAGTGCGATGGAGAGGTGGATATAAGAGAGGCTGATGACAAGCTTCAACCACTAATTCATCGAGTGTTAAGCACCGACTCCATATTTTCCGACTTCAGTCCGTCTGAGACACCAGCTGACGATGGCAAAGAAAACCAGCCTCTACACTGCGTGAGTTTACAGCTTCATTCACGTCTGGTATAGATGCGGAGTGAGTCCCTTCAGGTGTATTTCAGTTTATAATGGTTATTTCTGTTTATTTGATGCAGAGTCCACATGCACATTTAAGCTCAGAAATGAGTGATCAGGAGTCAGGGGACTTCAGCCACTCTCAAAAAGCTTTGTTGGTGCCTGACCAGGAGAGGACAAACAATTCTCACCCAGTCCTGGATGTTCATCATAGGGGACTGGACGAAGCTGTTCACAGACAGCTGAACAGGAGGAGGAGTTCCCAGATCCTCTTAGCAGTGGGAGAAGGCGCTGTACGGACGAGAAGGAAGGGGCCCAGACGTGGTGAAGACTTCACACTCGTTGAAGCTCTCCGAAAAGCAGACTTTTGGCTCCTTGTATTTTCATACATTTGTGGCTGTGGATCTGGATTAACTGCAATCAACAACCTGGCACAAATGGCATCCTCCCAGGGCTACAGCCGGGTGCAACTGTTTGTGTCGCTGGTTAGCGTGTGGAACTTCATTGGCCGTCTTGCTGGAGGTTATTGTTCGGAGCACCTCGTCAAGTAAGTGCATGAACACCTGATAATGATTGTGATCATTATACTGTATCATGTCTCACATTTCATACTTGTGGCTTGCAGGACTTACCTCCTTCCAAGGCCATTGCTGCTTCTTGTGGCACAGCTTGTTATGTCAGCTGGTCATGCCATTTACGCCATAGCCTTCCCATACTCTTTGCACATCGGCTCACTCATTGTCGGGCTTTGCTATGGTGTTCACTGGTCTGTGATGCCTGCAACCGTGAGTGAGCTCTTTGGCCTGAAGAATTTTGGCTTAATATTCAATGCAGTGGCGGCTGCCACTCCAGTGGGTTCGTACCTGTTCTCAAGCCTGATCGCCGGGTACCTTTACGACTACGAGGCACACAAGGGTAACGGTATGGGGAATCCCTGGCAACAATTACTGGTGCAGGCATTCAGCTCGTGGAGGCTTGATTCGTCAGAGTTCACTGAGTGCATTGGGACCCATTGCTTCCGTCTAACTTTCACAATCATGATGGGAGTCTGCTGGATAGGAGCAATTTTCACTGGTATTTTGGTATGGCGTACCACCCGTGTTTATGTGGCTATGTACAGGAAGGGGGGGTCCTTTCATAAGCTTTGAGAGTTTTTATTTTATTTTATTTCCAAAGTAGGGTATCAATCATATCTATGGCTTATGTTATGTACCGTACATACTGGTGATCTCATCATTATGCACCAGGGGAAGAAGCATAAGTTGTGCTGATTAGTATAAGAAACGTATGGCATGGCACTGCTGTAGCCTGTTCTTGCTGCTGACGCTGCTTGTTGTCAGCAATATGGCCGATTGCACACCTGGTATTGCCTTCATAAATTCCATCTCTCAGGCCAAAGGTACCTGAGCCTGTGGAACTCATAGTTCTGCCACTTATGGACCCATGATGGTTCCCTTTATCTGTGACAACCTCAGCAGGTCGATTGGAGGTCCCTGATTTGTCACAGCTCACGAGTCCCTGTGCTCCAATTGCTAGTGACAAAACAGGTGTTGATCTGCAGCATACCGTATCAAAGTGAAAGGCAAAAACGGGTACACTAAAATATTCAGCAGTTCAGCCACTTAACTAAGGATTGTGCAGGAAATCTACTGGTCGTCCACTTACACCAACGCAGAGGCATCTCCAGCTTGTTGACTGTCATACGCCATGGAGACGCTTGGTGAAGGTGTTTGGCCATCAGCGCTGGACATTCTTGGGCTCTGAGATTTTGAAGATGACGAGGGGGTTACAACGGTATGCAGGTCTAGTAGTGCTGCATCACGCTTGATTTCATCCAGTGTTTTACCCGCCATTAGCTGGTTAATATTAAGAAAAATGAAGCCCGGCGCGGAAAGAGAGCACATAGCATTCAGTCAGTTAAAGACGTAACCACGGTGAAGCACGTTGAAGAACGCACCGCAAGGTACCATGGAAAACGGCAACGGCTCGTACCCTTCGGTAAGGCCATCTGGGAACTCCGTTTTCACGACATGCCCTTTTCAAAGTGGCGTTGCATACACCTGTAACAGAAACATGATGTCAGGACGTTGACAACGTCCACTGGACAATCACTAAGGAACTACTGACGGCACGGTGACGGAGCCATATCAAGTAAAGCATTTTCCTTATTTGATGAATGAAGCGGTGCGGTTAAAATAACCGACCAAGTCGTGAAGCAGCTTCAAGGACTGGGAGGTTAAAATGTTTTTCTACGTCGGCATAGCTGATCTGCTCCCGCGTGTGCTTCGTCATAGTTAAAGAACAACGTTTCCGACCGACTACTTGTCGTACAATATCCTGTGATCAACGGCGACTCGCATAAAGAGATTGTTGTATGTTGTGGGAGATGGTTGGGAAGTGAAGTAAAAAACCACGCAAGTGAAGGGAACGAGTGATTGTCACCCTTGCTCTGTACGCGATAAATGTAGTCACTCTTTGTGGACAGGGCAAATGTGTAAGATGGGGGGGGTACTGTACACCTTCAAATATTTGGATGCGTTTCAACTTTTTCTCCATCCACCCCACTTAGTGTATCAGGGAACTCCAATCTCGAATCGCACTTGAAGCACCTCCTAGCGGCTTCACAGGCTTGAACGTTCTGCTGCTCACCTTGGCGACCCAGTCGTCGCCTAACTGCTGCAAACACTTGCGGAACCAGCTAGTGTCAGTGCACCATTGCGTGTCCCTCGTAGCAAGCAAGGATTAGAAGAATGTCGAAGCGAGAGCGAGAAGTGCAGTTGACGTATGAGGAGGTTTCGAAGCACTTCGCGTCGACGCTTGTCGACGCATCGGCTCGTCTGGGTGCGTGCCGGCTGGCGTTCATGAGTTCAAACTAGTAAACATCTCGTTGCTAGTAGCACCGGTTCGCCTCTCTATAAAACCGCAAAGCCTTTCCCCTTCGCCACCGCTTTTGAGTCAACTCGAAGGAAGCTTTAGAAAAATAAGGCTAGAAATTACCTTAGAAACGTCGTGCACTACCTGTGCTTAAAGAAAAAAAGGCTGGTCACGCGTTATATCCGTCAACACTGATCCACTCTGCAAAACTCCTCCCTAGGTGGGATTTTTCCCAATTCCTCCCTCAAAAGTCAGCAAACCCCGCCCTCCCACTCAACCCCCCCCCCCCCCCCCTATCCCCCCCACACTCCCCCCCCCCATCCCCCACTTCCCGCCCCTCCCCCTTCCCCGTCACAATCCTTTCAGGTGTAAGCACTGCTATTCTGAAAAAGATATGCCGTGAAAACGGCATACCCAAGTGGCCCTTCAGAAAAGTAAACCAATCTCCTCCCTTTCACGATAGCAGATTTAAATCCTCCTGTTTCTCAGTGTTGTCATATTCTTCTCCTTCTCCTGTTTTTGAGTGTTGTCATATTCTTCTGCTTCTCCTATTTTTGAGTGTTGTCATATTCTTCTGCTTCTCCTGTTTTTTAGTGTTGTCATATTCTTCTGCTTCTCCTTTTTTTGAGTGTTGTCATATTCTTCTGCTTCTCCTGTTTTTTAGTGTTGTCATATTCTTCTGCTTCTCCTGTTTTTGAGTGTTGTCATATTCTTCTGCTTCTCCTGTTTTTGAGTGTTGTCATATTCTTCTGCTTCTCCTGTTTTTGAGTGTTGTCATATTCTTCTGCTTCTCCTGTTTTTGAGTGTTGTCATATTCTTCTGCTTCTCCTGTTTTTTAGTACTGTCGGTGAACCCCTCTTTTCCCCTTTTGTTTGCTCTCCACTGTTTCCCCCCCCAACCACAGATCGCATCAGGCATGGCAATAGAGGAGATCAAGCGAGACGCAGCAGCAAACTCTTGAGACGTCCCAAAGGTCTCCCCCCTTCCCTCCCCCCTTTCCCCCCCTCCCCTTCCCTCCCCCACCGCAGATCGCATCGGGCATGACAATAGAGGAGATTAAGCGAGGCGCAGCAGAAGACCTAGCAGAAGAGCAAGCAGCAGGCACAACCACCGGCACCACCAGCAGCACCGGAGACACATCCCCCCACTCCTCTTCCCCCACTCCCCCTCCCGCATCCTCCTCCGCTCACTCCCACCACCCCTCCCTCCTCTCACCCGCTCCCCAGTCCCCCTCCACCGCCCACCTCTCACCCGCTCCCAAATCCCTCGCCACTGCCCGTCTCTCCGCACCCTCACCTACCCTGCAGCATGCCGCTTCGCCTGCCATGCACGCTCCTTCGTCTCACCCCTCTCATCCCTCCCATGCCCCATCCCCCGCCCAAGCCTCCTCTCTGCCCTCGCTCACCCCGCTGCTGCCAGGAGCAGGCATGCAGGTCCCAGTGGCTGTTTCCCCTTATGCCCTCAGGACCCCTGCTGCTGCGCTCCCTTCCTCTGCTGCTCTCCCTTCCACTGCAGCTGCGGTTCCTGCTGCTGCGAGTGCTGCTTCTGCGTTCTCCCAGTCCGTGCTGGCATCGCAGTGAGTGTCTCGCTTCCCCTTTTGATCGCTCAAAGACATTTGGGTGTGTACACGGAGTGTGTTCGTACAGCGTGGGTGCACTCCATAGTTGAAGCATTTGGAGACTTTTGAGTCGACTCAAAAGTGTTCGTACAGCGTCGGTGCACTCCATGGTAGATAGGTAGAAGCATTTGGAGTATCGCGCTTGAGTATCGTTTCCTTGTTGTTACTGCTCGCGACCATTGTTGCTACAATTCTGCTTCCACCTTTTCCTTGTACTATGCTGCTGCTATGTATATTGAAATCACTTTTGATCATTCTCATAAGTGATTTCAATACTGCTTCCACCTGCTCCCTGTACTATGTTGCTGCTATGTATATTGCTCCACAGACGAATCTCATCAGCCCCAGCATCGAATCCATCCCTGCAGCAGCATTTGCAGTACCAGCAGCAACAGCAGCAGCAACAACAGCAACAGCAGCAACAACAGCAGCAACAGCAGCAAATGTTGCTGCAGCAGCAGCGGCAGATGTTTCTTCAGCAGCAGCAACAACAGCAGCAGCAGCCAATTCCCCCTCACCTGCTGCAGCACCACCAGCAGCTCCAGTTGCAGCAGCAGCGCCTTCAGCTGATGCAGCAGCAGCAGCAGCAGCAGACTTTACAGGCAGCAGCAGCAGCAGGCGGAGAAAACGAAGCAGCAGGAGGGACAGGAGCAGGCCGAGGAGCAGGAAGGGGAGCAGGCAGAGGGACAGGAGCTGGGGCAGCCAGGGGATTAAGAGCACTGGCAGGACGCGGCAGAGGAGGAAGAACAACGGCAGGAAAAGGAAGGGGAGAAGCAGCAGCAGCAGCAGTAACAGCGGCAGCCACAGCTCAGAATCCTCTGGTTTCTGCTTCTTTTGCACCCCAGCAGGGAGGGGGAGGCGGAAGCGTTGGAAGAGAGAATTCCCCTCAGCAGGTAGGAGCAAGAGGGAGTGGGGTAACGGGGATCTCTCCTCACCATCTCACTGCAGTCACTCCTCTACTCGCGGCCGTTTCTTCCTTAACCCCTTCTCCTGCTCTCACCACACCTCCTTCTGCCATTCAGTCCCAGCGGCTTACCCCTCCTCCTCCTCCCCCTCCTGCTGTTGCTGCTGTGGCTGCGGCTGCTTCGAATTCCCATGCCCCGTCGGCCTCTCTCGCACGCCCACCTGCTGCCTCCACTGGTGCTGCTGCTGCGCCTGCTACTCCTGCTGCTGCTGCGGCAGGAGTGGCGGGAGCAGCAGGTCGGACTGGAGCTTATGCAACAGCAATGGGAGCTGGGCGGCTTGTTTCGGCACTTCCTCCCGTGCCAGTGTCTTTTACAATGGTGCCACATGCAGCTGCTGTAGCAGCAGGAGGTGGAGCAGCAGCAGCAGGTGGAGGGGCAGGAGGAGGAGGAGGAGCAGGCGGGGGGACAGCAGGAGGAGGAGGAGGGGTAGCAGCAAGTGGAGCACGAGCAGTAGGAGCGCCAGCAGCAGCAGCAGCAGCGACAGGGACAGTGGTGCCAGCTGTAGCAGGGACTGTAGCAGCAACGGGAAGAGGGTCCGGGGTTGGGGCAGGCAGAGGAGGAGGAGGGGGAGTTAGGGGAAGAGAGGGAGGAGGAATAGCACCATTAGCAGCAGCAGCAGCAGCACCGCTGGCAGCACCAGCAGCACCAGCAGCACCAGCCGCAGCAGCAGTAACCATGGGTGGTGGTGCTGTTGAGAGGAAGGCTCAAACAGCAATAGCAAACACGGGTGGCAACTTCCGTCCTATTCTCGTCAAGGGTCCAGCAGCAGCAACAGCAGCTGCTGCTGCTTCTGCTACTACTGGAGGGACAGTCACCACTGCTCCTCGTGCTGCTGCCCGTGCTGCTGCTGCTGCTCCTCCTCCTCCTGCTCCTGCTGCTGCTCCTCCTGCTGCTGCTGCTGCTCCTCCTGCTCCCTCCGGCATTACCACCACCATGGCACCACCAGCAGCAGTTTCCACACCAAATGCTCCTGCAGCTGACACTGATATCGAGGAGTATTATAACGAGGATGACGCCACTGCAGCGGCCACTCTAGCAGCAGCAGCAGCAGCAGCAAGAGCAGGGAGAGTGAGAGGAAAAGTCCCAAGTGCCTTTGACCTGGCCCTGTCTTTGCCTCTGCAAAACCCCCCAGCCTTCCCCTTCCCGTTCCCCCTGCCACTGGCGCAACGACACGACACCAGAGCCCTGAGACAGCTATCTGCCCCTGTCGCGCGATCACCAGAACAGCATCAAAGCCACGCTAATGAGCTTCCTGTTTCTTCTGGGGGAGGTGTCGTGAAGGTTGAAGCTTCTGATGGTGTGGGTTTTGCTGCCAGAGGTGGAGCGGCAGCAGGAAGGGAAGGGGGACGAACAGCCAATGCTGCTGCAGAAGCACGGGGTATATTCAAGGTTGAGTCGGTGCTTGGTGCTACCGCAGCAGGAACAGCAGGTGTGGTGGATTGGGGGGAAGAGGTGAGGTCAAGTGTACTGATGCAGTTCAGAGAGGGCTTCCCTGCTGCTGGCTTGCCGTGGGACGCGCTTAAGTGGTGGGGTAAGGAGGGAGGGAATGCAGGCGACATAGGTGGTGTGGGAGGAGTGAGAAGAGTGGGCGGAGGGGATTTAGTTTGCAAGGCTGACAGGGGAACTGGGGAGGATGAGAGTGGTGCTTCGAAGGGTGTTGTGCTGGGTTGTGGGGTGGAAGACAAGGAGAGGGTGGAAGAGGAGGAGGGTCGATTGGAGGAAGTGGGTGAGGAAGAGGAGGAAAGGCATGAGATGGATGAAGAGGGGCAAAGAGGGAAGCTTGGGGAGGAGAAAGAGCAGCAGGAGGAGAAGGGGAAAGAGAATGAGAAGGTTACAGAGGAGAAGAGGAAGGAGGAGGAGACCATGAAGCAGGAGAAGGGGAAAGTGGAGGAGGAAGAGAGAGGGAAGCAGGAGGGGAAGAGGAAGCGGGAGGAGAGCACATTAGAGATGGCGGAGAGGCTGGTGGGAATGCATCGGGCAGCAGTGGGGAGGGCGAGGGTGGGCAGGCAGAGTGCGGTGGCACGGGGGTATGCAAGCCCTGCGAGTGGTGCCGACCTGGCTGTGCTGTCGTTTGTGTTCGGGGCTTACACTCCCCGCCAGTGGTGCCGCGATGGGTAGGCTCGTGGTTCAAGCAGATGGGGGGGAAGGCAGAGTGCGGTGGCACGGGGGTATGCGAACCCTGCAAGTGGTGGCAACATGGCCGTGCTGTCGTTTGTGTTCGGCGCTTACACTCCCCGCCAGTGGTGCTGTGAGGGGTAAGTAGCAGTGGGGAGGGCGAGGGCAGGCAGGCAGAGTGCGGTGGCACGGGGGTATGCCAGCCCTGCGAGTGGTGCCTACCTCGCAGTGCTGTCGTTTGTGTTCGGCGGTTACACTTCCCGCCAGTGGTGCTGCGATGGGTAGGCAAGTGCAGGTAACAAGGTGAAACGGACCCTCAATACGCGTTCGGGCAGGGCTGCTATGATGGTCCTGCCAACGGTGCATGGGTAGGCATGCACGTAGCTTGGACAGCAACACGGTAGTTGCTGGAAATGAGGAGGTTCGATCTTGGGATGTTTTTTTTTTTTTAAGAAATTCTCAATGTTGGCCTACAGACAGACGCAAGGATGATGTTGAGGTAAAAACAGTTTGCTTGTATCTGTACACATCTGGCAGTTACCGAGAAGCCGGTACTGGGCAATCAATGGGCATGAAAACCCTTCCCCGGTCATGCAAATATATCATTTGATAATGCTCATTTCACACCTCTATCACACATCTATCACTCTGGACAGCTTCTGAATGCGGTTGAGCAGCAAATCGCCCTGCTTGAGCACCGACTGGTACTGCGCGTTGCACACTCTGGGCTGTTTAGGTATCTACAGATTGTTACAGCACATGTATAACACATCAGATCAAACATCAATGACCCGCGACAGCTTCTGAATGCGATTGAGCAGCAGGTCACCCTGCTTGAGCACCGACTGGTACTGCGCGTTGCACACTCTGGGCTGTTTAGGTATCTACAGATTGTTACAGCACATTTATCACACATCAGATCAAACATCAATGACCCGCGACAGCTTCTGAATGCGGTTGAACAGCAGGTCACCCTGCTTGAGCACCGACTGGTACTGCGCGTTGCACACTCTGGGCTGTTTAGGTATCTACAGATTGTTACAGCACATTTATCACACATCAGATCAAACATCAATGACCCGCGACAGCTTCTGAATGCGGTTGAGCAGCAGGTCGCCTTGCTTGAGCACCGACTGGTACTGCGCGTTGCGCGCGTCTGGCCGGTTGGTCTCGAGCACCCCTGCCACCTTGTCTATCTTGCAGTTGAGGCGCCCACTGGCTATGAACAGAGACAGCTCGCTGCATACACGGGAGGGAATAAAGGTGGGAGGGAGGGGAGGGGGGAGGGGGGAATACCTGTCATTGAAGTCAAGGGACACCCCGAAGCTACGAGCCATGGTGTCCGCAGTGACGCTCTTGTAGCTCTCCAGGAACTGAGGTGCTGGTCAGAGCAGTCAACCCTCAGGTCAACGCAGTCAACCCACCTGTCAATGAAGTCAAGCGAGACACCGAAGCTGCAAGCCATGGCGTCAGCAGTGACGCTCTTGTAGCTCTCTCCAGGAACTGAGGTGCTGGTCAGAGCAGTCAACTAACCAGACCATAGAGACAACCGACCAGTCAAGCAAGTCAACCTAGTCAAGAGCTCACCTGTCAATGAAGTCAAGGGACACCCCGAAACTGCGAGCCATGGCGTCCGCAGTGACGCTCTTGTAGCTCTCCAGGAACTGAGAGTATGCCACCACTCGCACCTCCCTCAAGATGAAGCGCATGTGGGGGTGCAGGTAGCGGTCTTGCCTGATGGGCTCCGTTAGGCCCGCTGAAAGGGAAATACGGGGGGAGAGAAAGTAAGGGGTGAAAGAGTGCCTTCCCTCACGATGAAGCGCATGTGCGAATGCAGGTAGCGGCCCTGCCTGATGGGCACGGTCAGGCCCGCTGGGAAGGGAACAGAGGAGGAGAGGGGAAAAAGAAGCGGTGTAAGAGTCTTTACCCTCACGATGAAGCGCATGTGCGAATGCAGGTAGCGGCCCTGCCTGATGGGCACGGTCAGGCCCGCTGGGAAGGGAACAGAGGAGGAGAGGGGAAAAAGAAGCGGTGTAAGAGTCTTTACCCTCACGATGAAGCGCATGTGCGAATGCAGGTAGCGGCCCTGCCTGATGGGCACGGTCAGGCCCGCTGGGAAGGGAACAGAGGAGGAGAGGGGAAAAAGAAGCGGTGTAAGAGTCTTTACCCTCACGATGAAGCGCATGTGCGAATGCAGGTAGCGGCCCTGCCTGATGGGCACGGTCAGGCCCGCTGGGAAGGGAACAGAGGAGGAGAGGGGAAAAAGAAGCGGTGTAAGAGTATTTACCCTCACGATGAAGCGCATGTGCGAATGCAGGTAGCGGCCCTGCCTGATGGGCACGGTCAGGCCCGCTGGGAAGGGAACAGAGGAGGAGAGGGGAAAAAGAAGCGGTGTAAGAGTCTTTACCCTCACGATGAAGCGCATGTGCGAATGCAGGTAGCGGCCCTGCCTGATGGGCACGGTCAGGCCCGCTGGGAAGGGAACAGAGGAGGAGAGGGGAAAAAGAAGCGGTGTAAGAGTCTTTACCCTCACGATGAAGCGCATGTGCGAATGCAGGTAGCGGCCCTGCCTGATGGGCACGGTCAGGCCCGCTGGGAAGGGAACAGAGGAGGAGAGGGGAAAAAGAAGCGGTGTAAGAGTCTTTACCCTCACGATGAAGCGCATGTGTGGATGCATGGAGGTAGCGGTCTCGCCTTATGGGCTCCGTCAAACCGGCTGAGGCGTTGGGGGGGGAAGGGGAAAGAAAGGGGGATATGAAGGGTCTTCCCCTCTGGATGAAACGCATGTGGGGGTGCAGGTAGGGGTCCTGTCTTATGGGCTCCGTTAGGCCAGCTGGGAAGGACATACATGGGTGGGACATGGGGGGCACAACAAAGTGTCGGGGTCCTTTTTGAGTCGACTCAAAAATACATGGGGGGACATGGGGGGCACAACAAAGTGCCAGGTTGTTGAGGAAGGGCGTGAGGTGGGGGAGGGTCTAGTGATTCGACACGCACCCATACACGCACACACCTACCCATACACGCACACATGTGACTCACAGAAGACCTTGCGGTCGCACGCATGTAGGTTGTTGAGGAAGGGCGTGAGGTGGGGGAGGGTCTAGTGATTCGACAAACTACACACCCACGCACACACCTACCCATACACGCACACATGTGACTCACAGAAGGCGTGAAAGAAGGCCTTGTAGTCACACGCTTGCAGGTTGTTAAAAAAGGGCCCGAGGTGGGGGAGGGTCTACTGATGACACACCATGCACCCATCCATGCACACGCCTCCACACACAAACACCCCCCCCCCCCCCCTCACACACGCACACATGTGACTCACAGAATGCGCGGAAGAAAGCCTTGTAGTTGCATGCATGCAGGTTGTTGGGGAAGGGTGCGAGGTGGGGGAGGGTCTACTGATTCGATACAGCACGCACCCACACACACCCACACACCTACCCGCACACCAATCAGAGACTCACAGAATGCGCGGAAGAAGGCCTTGTAGTGGCATGCATGCAGGTTGTTGACAAAGGGCCCGAGGTGGGGGATCTGGTCGATGACTGTTAGGATCTCCGGGGTGTCAATGACCTGCACGGCAGAGGGGAGGGGGGGAGGATGGGTTGTGGGAGGGAGGTCAGGGGAGAAGCGCAGCACACATTAAACCAAGGGGCCGAGGTGGGGGATCTGGTCGATGACTGTTAGGATCTCCGGGGCATCAATCACCTGGAGAATGAGGGGACAAGAGACAGGGAGGGGGAAGAGCCGTGTTTCGAGTCGACTCAAAACACGACTCATTACACGCGGATGACTGTTAGGATCTCTGGGGTGTCTATGACCTGAGAGAGAGGGGGGTTGTGAGGGGGTGAGGGAACGGGGGGGGGGAGAGAGGAGAGCACACTGACAAAGGGACCAAGGTGGGGGATCTGGTCGATGACTGTTAGGATCTCCAGGGCGTCAATCACCTGGAGAATGAGGGGACAAGAGACAGGGAGGGGGAAGAGCCCGAGCGGGGTGGAGTGGCGATACTAATTAGCTACTACCAAGCATTGGAAGAGAGAGGAACGATGCAAGAGATGCGGAATCTGATAGATCAGTGCTATTTTGAGGCGCCTCAAAATACACCTCAATGCTCGTGGAACGATGCAAGAGATGCGGAATCTGATAGATCAGTGCTATTTTGAGGCGCCTCAAAACACACCTCAATGCTCGCGGAACGATGCAAGAGATGCGGAATCTGATAGATGAGTGCTGCCCTGCCCACCTTCCTAGGTTGCCTCAAAACCCACCCACCTTCTGTTTGAGCGCAATGCGGGCGAGAGCGACCACTCTGAGGATGACAGTGTGGAAGACGAGCGAGCGGTACGGCAGCAGCAGCTCGTACACACGTGGTGAAGGTGGGTGGGGCTGGGATGGGAGACACGGTCACACAGGTGAGCTGAGCGCCTAGAGCTGCAACACGCACAACCCACCTTCGGCTTCAGTGCCACCCTATCCAGGGCCTTTTGAGTCGACTCAAAAGTCATCGCACAACCCACCTTCGGCTTGAGCGCCACCCTATCCAGGGCCACCACGTTCAGAAAGATGGTGGGGAAGACGAGCGAGCGGTATGGCAGCAGCAGCACCCACCCACCCACTTGAGCCCACCTGCTGCCTGGACGCACCTTCTGTTTCAATGCCACTCGGTCCAGTGCCACCACGCTGAGAATGACCGAGCGGCGCCACCACGCTGTAGAAGACGAGCGAGCAGTATGGCAGCAGCAGCTCGTACACACGTGGTGCAGGTGGGTGTGTGCTTTGCTTTGGCCCTCCAGGTGCATCCAGACCAGCTCACCTTCTGCTTGAGCGCCACCCTATCGAGTGCCACCCTGTCGAGTGCCACCACGCTCAGAATGACGGTGTAGAGACGAGCGAGCGGTATGGCAGCAGCTCGTAGGTGGCGATGGCGCCCAGAAACAGGGGGGGAGATGGTAGCCCAAACACCTACTGCAGAACCCACCTTCTGTTTG